CATAACTCAGGTCAGCTCCTATAAGTACCTTGGTGTCCATCTAGATAATACACTCAGCTGGAAGGCGCATGTTCAAGGTCTGTGCTCTAGACTTCAACAGCGATTGTACTTTCTGCGTCGACTCCGGGCTTTCGGAGTCGACCAGAAGTTCATGTTACTGTTTTATCATGCAGTGTTGGAGAGCATCATTAGGTATGGTATCACTGCCTGGTACGGTAACTTGACAGTGCAGTCAAAGTCACAGATCGCTCGCCTGGTACAGACGGCTATGAAAATTATGGGGGTTAAAAAACACCCATCTCTCCAAAACATATATGAGCAGTCCATTATCAGACAGGCAAACAAAATAGTGTCTGATCCCACCCACATACTCCACCCAGAATTCCAGCTCCTACCTTCTGGTAGAAGATTCAGGGTTCCCAAGAGCAGGCTGAACCGCTATAAGCACTCATTCCTACCAATGTCCGTTAAACTTCTTAACATTGACAGGAAATGAAATGTAGTCGAAGTCAAATGTAATGAAATGTACTTTTTTTAAATGTTGGCCATGAGGGTTGTGCAATAGGTCGCCATTGTCAGTATGTGCGTCTGCGTGTATTGTGTTTGTTCAAACGGTGTATGATTGATGATATGTGTATGTCTCTTAAATGTCCACTATGTTTGTATATTATGTACATGTATGCGGAACTGCTGGACGGAGCCCAGAACGAATTTCCTTACGGGGACAATAAAGTATATCGTATCGTATCGTACATCAACGGCAACTGTGTGGAAAGGGTTCCCGCCTTCAGGTTCCTCGGCACACACATTGCTGAAGATCTATCCTGGTCTATCGACACCACAACATCTGTAAAAATAGGCCCAGCAGCAATTCCACTTCCTGAGGATCCTCAGGAAAAACAACCTGGAGGAGAAGCTTCTGGTGTCTTTCTACCGCTGCTCCATAGAGAGTGTGCTGGCATATTGCCTAACCACGTGGTGTGCCAGATGCTCAGAAAAGGACAGGAAATCCCTTCAGAGGGTCATCAACACAGCCCAGAAGGTCATCGGCTGCTCACTGCCTTCTCTGGAGGAACTCTTCAGCCAATGTTGCCTCAACAGAGCAGGCAAAAAATAATTGCAGACTCTTCACACCCTGGACACTTCCTGTTTGCTCTTCTGCCCTCCGGTAGACGCTACAAGTCAATTCAATCAAGGACAAACCGACTGAAAAACAGTAGGCGAGACCTGCGCAGTTGCGATCAACGTCTTGCTAATGCGTTGCATGATGGTTAGTCATTTTGTCCGACTTGCTCTGGAGGCTCGCCTACATGAGACGTTGAAATCTCGCGGGACAAAGACGCCCGCAGCCTTGAGAGCGAGGTGCGGCGAGGCGGCGCAGTTCCTCTCCACGGGCTGCGGAAGCGAAATGCTTGATGGGAAACGACTCGCTGGTATCTCGAGCTGAGCGCTCATTGGTGGTTTTTACCCCGTGCTGCTGATGAAACTCTCCAATTGGCTCGGTAAAAGTTTGTTGTTGTTTTGTGTCAGTTTTACGTAGCCACATCCATTCCCATTTTTCATCATTGTTCCACAATGTTTATCATAATTAAATTAATATCTATATATTTTATACTATACTTGCACTGCTTACCGTTTTCATACTTTATATATCTTAGCATATTCATACACACTGTTCATACTGCTCTCAGGCTGCTGTGTATATCTAGTGTATTCATACCCCTCACTGTTTATTCATCATTCAATTCATTCTATATTTTATTCTGTCTATTGTGTACATTACTTTTCACTTTACCGCTTGTTGCACCTGGTTAGAAGCTAAACTGCATTTCGTTGTCTCAGTACCTGTAATATGTGCAATAACAATAAAGTTGAATCTAATCTTGAGCAGGAACAAATGTATTTACTTAGTACATATCTGACATTAACGATTAAACACATGTGTGCATTCTTTATAAATGCAAACCGAGTCAAGCCGACTCCGGAGGTGGCGGTATGCACCTTAAAGTTGTTTGTAATCCGCCAAAAAAAACCGAGAGAAGAAGAAGACGAAGCCGACTCCGAGCTGTCCGACTTCAGGCGAGCTTTTTGAGACCTCCCCCGGCTGCGATCGGCTATTCTCGTCTACTTTCGAGGCGAGCCGCAACGCGTCTCAAACAAGCCTAGTTTCTACCCCAGAGCCATACGAGAACTGAACACCGTCAAACGCTGAACTGAACAGTTACAACTGCACTACTTTTTAATAGTTTTATTAACTGATCGACATCAGAGATGCAAAATATCATCCCTGTGTTTTTTATATTGTAAACTGTATTTAAATTATGTGCGGGCATGTATGCATGTTGGTATGGATGTGTGAGCATATATTTATGTGTGTATATGTTTATATATTTATTCGTTTTATGTGGAAATGCACTGCCAGGATTGCTTTTTTAAATTTCGTTGTACCTGGTGCGATGACAATAAAGGAATTATATTCTATTCATTCCTAACAGCAGACATGTACAATTGTTAGTGTGTTTGATGGACTACGTTTTTCAGGATGCGTTATCCTCACCTTTTAGAAGACTTGTCTCGATGCTACCACGTACTAGTTTCCAGTGGACACCAGCGGGTTTGTAAACACAAAACAAACCCTCTATTTTCCGAAACATCCGAATAGCTGGAGTTGCCATTATGTTAATAACATCAGGTCATCCCGGTCTCTAAATATATAGAACCAGAGTAACCTTGAGGCTTTTTCACGGATAAAGGTAGTTACTTTTCGGTTGATTTTTCTCCATTTGACTTTACTACATCCATTGCATGGTAACCTTAGCGCATGCGTAGATGTCTTTCAAATGTATTACTTATGTGTAGCTAGCCCTCTCTGAACACACTGCCCCCTGCGGTACTGGAGGTAGGCCTATAACTGGCAGAACAAGCTGACGACAAGCCGTGCGAAATGAAAACACCAGGATAAATAATGAACGGCTTTATATTGAGTAGGAAATAGGAAAGGCAGAATATAGTTGACTATTTTTTGGGAAGGTTGATTGAAAGTTATACAAAGGAATTGACTTTGAAGGAGCCATAAGCTATGAGACTTTTTGGTGCAACCTATGTTGCAAATGTATTATCTTTTCAATTTACACACGGCATCTATTGCACGTCTGTCCGTCCTGGGAGAGGGATCCCTCCTCTGTTGCTCTCCCTGAGGTTTCTCCCATTTTTCCCTTTAAACTGTGGGTTTTCTTCGGAAGTTTTTCCTTGTACGATGTGAGGGTCTAAGGACAGAGGGTGTCGTATTGTCATACTGATATTTTGTACAAACTGTAAAGTCCACTGAGACAAATGTAACATTTGTGATATTGGGCTATATAAATAAACATTGATTGATTGATTGAACGCTTACCTTGCCATTAATGATAAAACTAAACAAAAAACCTCAAACTCAAATTTTTACTCCAACTTTTAGAGATCATGTTCATGATGACAGCGGTCAGTCTTAGAAAAAAAATGTTAAAATGTAATTATTGTACTGTGTGTGTGTTCAATATAATGTGTATGTGCGGCAGAGGCAGGGAGCCGACACAGCTTTGTTTTTCAAGTAAGCATATTTAGTCAAGACTAAGAGGTTTACGTCAGTAACAGCTTCCTATAACTGTCACTTTGTACATGTAACTGCATGTACTTCAACCTAAAAGTGTTCAAAAAAAAGCGTCAAAAGGAGCCAGTTGAGGTGGTTCGGGCACCGCCACCTGGGCGCCTCCCTGGAGGTGTTTCAGGCACGTCCAGCTGGGAAGAGACCAAGGGGTAGGACCAGGTGGGATTATATCTCTTCGCTGGCCTGGGAGCGCCTTGGGAGCCCCCAGTCAGAGATTGATTGATTGATTGATTGATTGATTGATTGATTGAAAAGTTTATTAACAGCTTGTATATTGGGTACAGTACAGTACAGCTCAAAACATACAATTGTTAAGGGGATGCAGACCAGAGAAAGACTTTCGTCTTGTTTACATCAGGGTCCCCCATTTCCAATTCATCATGTCATTTAAGACATATAAGACATATTTGACATACAGATGGCTTATTTACAATTTACATACAGGTGTTTTTTTTTTTTTTACATACAGATTGCTTGTTTACAATTTTCATTTTAGATTTCGTTCTAATACATCCTAACCGGACATTTAAGACATACCAAGTCTACAGATATACAGTTAGTAACAGAGTCTAACATGCGAGTATATACATAGATGGGGGGGAGGGGGGAAGCTGTCCATTGAACGACAGGTTGAGCCATTGAACGACAGGTTGATGTGGCCAGGGAAAAGAAAGTTTGGGGCTCTCTGCTGGAACTGCTACCCCCGCGATCCGACCACGGATAAGCGGGAGAAGATGGATGGATGGATAGTTTTGTGCATAAAAAGTTACCTAACTCCCAGCTTGTGAGTGTGAGTTCATATATTCCTTCTCATTTAATGAAGAAGACTGGCAGAAGCAGTGTTATAATTTCTTTCTGTGGAAACAAACTCTCGTGACTACATTATTCACAGAGTAAGAAACACCAAGGCCTGGTTGTGCGCGAAGGTAAGCCGTGTATACCCATAGAATACTTTCTATTGGCCAGAAGCCTCTTCAAAAGAACGACGGTTCGAATCCCACCTGACCTAAACAAAATCCCCACATTCAGTTTCAAAATGTTGCTCATCATACACAAACACTACATTTATCTTTTCAAACGTTTAGAGTTAGAGTTGAAACAGATATTTGGAGTTAGAAATGAATTATTCTTTCCTTGCTGCTTTTATAATGGTTATTTTAACCTTAATATATAGCAATCATAACAATAACACAAATAATGATATCTTAATATTAGTAATAATAATGTTTTATATAATTATTTTGTATTTTACATTTTACTTATAAGCAATATTTTTAAATATGTTGATTGTACAGATGTTTACATTGAGCATGAGTGTGCTTCATTCTTCTTTCTATCACTTCCTCCATCAAGTAAAGACAGCCAGTGATGCATTCAAGATCATTTATTCAAAAACAGCTGAATCAAATATAGGAAATAATACAAATAGAACTTAATATATAAAAAACACTGAAAACACAATACAGAGAGAACAATCAGATCCTGAAAAAAGGATTGAACCATATTATATTCTTTGTATTTTTGGACTATATGATATGTTGTATTGCACCTTCATATTTAATATAATATTATAATTTAGCAGAAGATAGAGTATTGTTTTGTTATAGATTTATTTGATCTCACCACCATCCATTATCTGAAATGTTTTTCACCTCATGCTCTTGTATTATTATGAATTGAGTTTTTTGAGGGCATTAACCAAAACTGTTTTGTTATTGGCAGGATTGTCAGGACTGGTGAAAAGGCTGATAGGGGTCTCGTTTTTGTAGCAGGCAAAACGTCTTAGTTAGTATGCAACTTAGTAGACCCAGGAAGTGGTGTGTGCATGTGAGTATGTGAGGGTAGGTTAGGGCTTCCTTTTGTCTGCAATACATCTGTCCCTTTCATCATCATAGAAGTCCGACTGCTGGAACTCCGGCCACGTCATCTCCTTCTCCATGCCCTGTGCATTATATAAGGAGAAGACTCTGGAGGGGCAGTAGATGTACTTCCCTGGGCAAGTCAGAGCTAAGGGAACAGGAGGCGCTGGGCAAGTCAGAGCTGTAAAACATCATAGTTACATCAGATCAAATTGAATAAAGCTCTATATAAATGACTGCTATAATACAGTGTCACAGATATCCATACCTTCATCGAGGACAGTGTCTCCCTGCGCTTCCACAGGGGCCATATTATGTGGTGATGAATCTGGGATGATGTGATACAAACAGGCAAGTGACGTATACACATTATACATCGAAATTAAGAAGCAGCATTTAAGAAGTTGTGAAAAATGAAAACAGACGATGATATCATTACTTAACTTTACCTCAAACGTGAGCACTATACTGTATGACACCGTGACAATGTGATTTGTCAGAATGAAATGTAAGTTTTTGTGAGATACACTGCTGGTATAAGAAGAACACATACTTTGTCTCAACACATTTGGCGGCTGCACTTCTATCCCGAGCTTTGGGGCAATGGCGAGCAGCTGAGGAGGGACCGGCAGCGGTGCCTTCACTGTGGCTGAAGGATGAAAGGCGGAAACAAACATGAGGGTATATATACATAATATGTATGAAAAAGATTCAAGATGGATCCAAGTGAGGAGTATAAAAACCCAATAACCTTTCAGAGGAGCAGGTCCATCGGGTCTGGACACAGTGGCAGTTGGACTGTAGAAACAATCCTGTGTCACTTTCCTCAAGTGTTAAGTTGTTTCAAGCTTCACAATCTGTCTTTACCTGTCGTCTCTTTAGCAGAATGAAAATACCCTGTTGTATTAACTTGTGAATCCCAATTATTTGAAATAGAAAAACATAATGTCTATATGTGTTTGGAAACAGGTAAAGCAGAGAAACAGTATACATATATAGCAAGCACATCTTTCATTCAAAGGTGTGGCATGATATCTTAGAGGGTAAGAAGCTATAGGTGTTCTAAGCCACTGCAATATTTAAAATGCCAAATCCTTGTATGACAGTCTAAAAAAAAGCATGCAAAAACGGAAAAACACTTACCATCATTGCTGACATGTTAATTCCTTCAGTTAGTTGGAGAACAGAATAACACAAGCATCAGAACAGACCAGAACACGGCCAAAATAACAAACTAGTTGAGAATAATAATATCAGGGAAAATCTGTTGGAAACAGTTAACCCTCCACACTGCTGGAGAAAAACCTGTTGGTGTAGACACAGCCGGGGCTCTGGAGACTGCTGCTGGTGGCCCTATAAAGCACAGGTGACAATGAACAAAGTTTTAACATGTACAGTAAGTTTATATAATCACTGTGTATCTAACTGGATCCACCTACTTCGTTCAGTGTAGAGTTGTGAAGGAGACAGATTCAACATCGCCCTCTCCAGCTCCTCGTCCTCCTCCATCACTAGGAGATTAAACAATAACATGTATTATGTCAATGTCATGTTCACCTTAAAGCAGTATTTGCATATTACTGTGAGCTGACCTGGAGTGCTGGATGTCAGAGTGGAGGTAGCTGATGCAATGCAGCCTTCAGCAGGTGGTGGACAGGACTCAGCCCTCTGCTGCTTGAGGATATACTGCTGAAGGTTGTACATCTTGCTGTTAGTGATGCACTTCACTCCTAAAACAAAGGCAGCATAACCATCAGACCTGCTATCCCAGATCTGCTTCCAGGTGTCTTTGGCCCTGGCTCCAAAGCCGACAGTATGTTCCCCCTCTGACGCCACTGGTGGGGCAGGCTTCCTGGAGCACAGGTACTTCCTCAGATCCTTAATTTCCTGGAAGCTCCTGGCGTAGTCCAGAAACGACAGCAGGCTGTCCTTGCTAGGCCCTTGGGGGTTGAAGGTCCCACCTCTCTCCTCCTCGTCCACCTTGTCCATCAGGTAGAGGGTGTAGCCGACGTCATTCTCTAGGAGCCACCTGTACAGTTTCCCCTTATATTTTCCGAACTGTAGCACGTACTCCCCCATCACCTCGAGTCGGTCGGATACATCCCCTCCCCTCTGAAGGACCTCAGTGAGAGCATTTGTCCTCACATGCTCATGCTTCTGAGCGGCAGACTTGTCCTGAAGGGAAGGATTTTTTTAAATTATCATACCCTCCTCTGAAGGGTCATGTCTCAGGTGGCCAGATGGACCCTTCCTGAAAGACACTCTCATCTTTCCTGGGAAGAATATGGTTTTCTTCATTATCTCCTGCACACAGCAAAACACAATGCAAAATATATATTAAGAAGTGCACAAATCATCATATGTTATATTAGCAGAGTTATTCATTTCATTCATTCACGTTAACCAGGATTTGTATAGGTAACACATGTTATATTACATGATCAGACAGGCAGACAAACAAACAAACAGAGGGGCAGGTGGGCAGGAAGATGTATTATGTATTGCCCTGTCAATGTGAGTGAACTCACTTTATTTCATGTTTACATTAATTGGGATTTGTAATGACTAGGTAACAACTTTTCTATTACATGAATAGACAGACTGAAAAGCAGATGGGTAACATCTTTAGCCATAAAATAATAACAAAAGTATAATAGAAGATAGCAAAACAAAAGTTTTAAGACTGAATACTGTAGTATTTACCCGATTAAAATGTACTGTAGTAAGTAGAGCTGCAGCAATGAAAAGAGTCAAATTATGCAGTATTTTGGATCAGTGTTAACAAGATACACCTGTAAAACACATTTGACAGCTATTTTGCCATGTGTAATGAGTAATAAATCAGCTGCTGTTAACGCTGACATTTACTGTAAATACATGACGATAGCGTGAGCTAACAAAAGTTACAGTACTTCAGCGCTAACAACACACAGAGTTAAAGACAAACTAACAACTATTGCAAAACCAGTGTAACAATATCATAAGTGTTAATTCAGTCGTAGAAAAATAAGCCCCACTTACGTTTGATAAGTTTAACGTGATGTTAGAACTAGAAGTCGAATTGTGTCGCTCATGTCGTCTCTCTATCTGTAAAATGCTGCTGCTGTTGCTCCGTCTCTCTGCTCTGTCACTGGAAACGGGTCTCCTTACTTCTACCAAAAGGGTGCAACAGCGCCCCCAATCTCTCGCTTGTGGCCAGAAATATATTGCATCACAGTGTAAGAACTACCATAGAGAATGAATGGTAAAAGTTAAGAGAGTTAGTCCTTACCAGAGCCATATAATAGAAGAGTTACGACAACGGAAGTCCTAAAACGGTTATCGTCACGTGGTTCATGTAGAAGAGGATCGTTCCCCGGAAGTTCATGGCGGGCAATGTGAATGCATTGATAACAGGAGATAGAACTACGATTTTTGGTAATTATTAGTGAATAAAGGTTTTGATTTGCAATATTTATACAACAAATCGATATGTGTATGTATTTACATCAATATGTTTTAAAAAATAAAATAGAATTTGCTAATATTAAGTGATAATATTAGGATTAGTGTGAACAACTAGTTTACATGTTAGGCTAACAGTGCCTTGGTTAAAGAGCCTGTTGCTGTTTATTTATAGCTTTGAATTCTTTAAAACCAATATTATCTTCTTAAACTTGTATGGTAGTCAGGAGCATCACTTTCTAATGTTTATTGATATATTTAAAGTAATGCTTTAAAATTCAGATTAGATTAATGTCTACCATTTTCTTAAATTCATGGTAGTTTCAGTAATCCCATGGTAATTGAGGACACAAGTTATCTAAATGACTAATGTCATCTTTATGGCTTTCAGAAAGGACAGGAGACCGACAGGTGACTATCAAAGGACTAGCAGCAGCAGCATGATGATGATGTTAAATGTGTTGTTTTAGGAACATCCATTGCAAATACATGGAATTCAATAAACATTGAATAGCATATCATGCAGTTTGTCGGTGCCTTTTCCTCCGTGTTGTCCTGGTTTGCTGTGCTGCCTCCTAGTCTCCCCCATGGTTTGCTGTGCTGCCTGGGGATGCTCAAATCGCTCCGAGAAAGGAGTACGAATGTACGGCTTCCCCACTGACACAGAGCGGAGGAAAAAATGGCTGGCTCAAGTCAGCAGGAGCAATTTCACGACCAACAGCAACAAAATATGTGATGTAATTATATACAAACACTGCATTTGCACTTTTTCACAAAACGAAAACCACACCATTGGGAAAGCTTAATGTTTTGTTTAATATAAAAAAACAGGGAAAGGCTTGAAAAACACAGAGTTGAGACTCAGGGTGCAGGGTGAGGGTCTCAGTGCAGGTATTCAGGCTCCATTGAATCCCCCTCTGGTTCTTGTGCTGAAAGAGGGAGTAACAGACAGGAGAAAGGGTTATACACACCTATATAGCACAGCTATTGGATGGGAAATTGCCTTGGGGAGATAAGGTGTGGTCTTTGTTCCCAACTGAAGTTATGGAACTTTATTATTTGTGAGTTTAACAAAGTATGACAAATGGCATCAGTAACAGATGTGATATGAATTTCTATAAAGTTGTCTCACATTCTTGGTCATATTTTATATACAGTATGTAATGAGTATAACATGTCCAGTAAGTATAAAGTGTTTCCTAATATTGTGTATTCAACCACTATGGAATATGTATGTGGGCAGACAAGATTCAGACACAGTTGTTCTGTGTGTGAAGTAACCTCAAGTCACTCCGCAGGCACATTTTGATGCAGACCAGTTTGTCAAGACAAAAAAGGGCAAGACTAGGCTGAGAGCAGAGGCTATACCCACCATCTTCGTGCATCGCCCTGTGGTCAAAAAGAGAAGGGCCCCTGCACCACGATTCACCCCGGGACCTGTATCTACAAAGCCCATAGCTCATGATCACAGCTATAGTGTGAAAGGTGACACAGGTATAATAAGTATGAACTCTTAGTAAGAAAAGTAATATTTGTTATTTTTAAGTGGTATAATATTTAAAATGTTCGAAAATTAAAGAGCCAAGAAGGAATCACCAAAAAAGCAAAGGCTGCACTAAGAAAAATCAGGAAGGAAAATGCAGCTCTCAAGAAAACAATGAAAATTAGAGACAAGAAATATAAGAAAACGTTTTCAAAAGACCAACTGAAGGCATTAGACAGACTCACCACAAAGGGGATGAAATGGAGCAATGAGACAATTAAGAAGGCTTTAAAAATTCGCTTTGCAAGCGGACCAACAGGTTACAAAACTCTGCAGGAATTGAAGATTCCCCTTCCAGGAATAAGGACACTGCAAAGAAGGATGCAATGTGTTAAGTTTGAGCCTGGTGTGTTGACAGAGGTCTTTGATTTCCTAAAATTGAAGGCAGATAGATTGACAGACCTTGAAAGGGAGTGTGTGTTGACATTGGATGAAATGGCAATCACACCAAGTGTGGAGTTAGACATGATTCCAGGCAAACTGTACGGTGATGTGACTTAACCAGGTCACACAGGGGTGGCAACACATGCTTGTGTGTTTATGTTGGCTGGAAACACAACACGGTGGAAGCAAGTAGTGGCATATCATTACACTGGCAATTCTACCAATGGAGCAGAGTACAGGCCAATCATTATTGATATAAGGGCAGCATCCATAGGGCTAAATGTGCTTGATGTCACCACCGACATGGGTAGCCCTAACCGAGCCATGTGGAAATCCTTTGGGGTGGACCAAAATAAAACATCGGTGCCACATCCAGCAAAACCAGACAGGCAGCTCTATTTCATGCCCGATGTCCCACATCTGGTAACATTTTTAAAAAGTGCCCTTGTCCGTGGGCAGGTCTTCATAATTCCTGAGGATGTTGTTAACAGAGAGAACCTCCCCTCTAACGAGGTTTCTGTGGTCCCCATTAAGGACTTATTGACCTTTCAGGAAGGGATGGCCTTAAAAATAGCTCCCCATCTTTCAGCTGCAGCCATCGAGCCAAGTCACTTTGATAAGATGAAGGTTGGTTTTGCTCTAAATGTGTTCAGTAAGGCTACAAGTGCTGGGCTGAAATACATGGTGCAGCAAGAAAACCGCCCTCTGTCATACCTGACGACAGCGTGGTTCCTGGAACAGGTTGATCGTTGGTTTGATCTGATGTCATCTCGCCATCCAATTACAGCCCTGAGGAGGCTCAAGATGGAGGAGTACCAAAAGGCCATCACCTTCCTCCAGAACATCGTCCATCTGTTTCGTGGGATAAAGATAGGTCAAAAGGGAGGTTGGAAGCCTGTTCAAACAGGGGTGATAATGGCAACAACATCAATTTTGGCCATACAAGAGGAGATGCTTACACAAGGACACAGGTTTGTGTTAATGTCAAGGTTCACATAAGACTGCCTTGAAAATACATTCAGCTGTGTGAGGTCTAAAAATCCTGTCCCAACTCCAGTGGAATTCCATCATGCACTGAGAATCATATCTGTGGGGCAGTTCCTCACCACCATCAGCTCTGGGAGCTACGAGGAAGACCACAGTAGCTTTTTGGCAGACTTCCTGGACACAGGGGAGCCAAAAATCACTCCATCAGTCAGAGTGGAACAGCTGATGGCGGTGAACAGAGCAGCACCTGACCTCACAAAAACTGAGAAATGTATTATCTTCCATCTTGCAGGCTACATCGTCCACAAAATCATCAAGTTTGCCAGCATCTGTGAAAAATGCAAAATTGCAACAGAGCACCATGATGAGAGTCCTTCTGGTGACAACAGCTTGTTAGTGGACTTGAAAGACTCCAAGGCAGGTGCTCTTTGTCGTCCCTCCCAAGAAGCCTTTGACTTCATTCACCAAATTGAGGAACTATTTAGGACCAAGACTGGTTCCTCCCTCATGCAGCTCCCCAACGCATTGGGTGTCTTGGAGAAAGAAGCTCAGGCTTCCGTCATGCTGTGGAGTACAACAAAAACTCGTAAAAAGATTCATACGGCTGAGGCTGAGAATTGAGGCCAAACAAATCAGAAATGACAGAAAAAAAATAAAATTAAAAGATGGCTATTTTGGAAGCAAGAGCCAATCCAAAAAGGTGAAAAGGAACAACAGCAGCCAAGCTACCACATCCAGCAACCCCCAAACAGATCCACAGCTGCAATCATTTCCATTAGCCGTTGCAATGGAAATATTTGGACTAAACATTGCTCTTCCACCTGCCAGCACCCAGCTAACATCACTGCTTCTCCACCCGTAACATCACTGCCCCTCCACCTGCCAACATCACTGCCCTCCACCTGCCAGCACCCAGCCAGAGGAGCGCAAACAACAAAAACAAGCAAGGTGTCCCGTCATGTACCTGGAAGTTTGGGTTGGCAAAATGGAGTAAGAGAGGGACTTGAAAAACCTTGGTGGCTCTCTACTCATGTTGTTACAGTTGTCTTGGTTACAGCTCTCAATTATTATTTTTTGCCATTTCCACATCTTTAGAAAATATGAAATAAAAAATTGAAGTGAAATCAACTTCTTCTCTGGAGAACAAACTTTGATTTCTCTGTCTTGTGAGTTTGCAGTCTTGCAGTTTTGCTCCTCCACCTGTAACATCACTGCCCCTCCACCTGCCATACAGTAGGTTACTAACACGATTACTTATATAATACAGTGATAGAATACATGTTTAGTATGCTTACTTATATAAAACAGTATTATTAAACTTACCTTGTGTGTTCACTCTCACTTAAGTCCCTCTCCCTTTGCCATCAATCCAAAATCAGCTGAGCTGCAACATTATACAGACAGCCAGGTAATAATCAACATAATCACAAGGACACAATATGGCTCTGCTAAAAACACTCACTCTTACACGCACCAAAGTTATATTTATCTAATATTTAACTCCCTCCAAACCCCGCATACAATCCCGTTTAGAAGCCCCTCTTCTCTAATTCAACAACGTTGGACGAAATGACATTAAGAGAACGGAATTTACAATTAAAAGGCTGTTCAACGTCTGTTGCTAACTTGCTTCGGTATCCTAGCTTAATCTGTTATCTGTAAACGTTCCCTAAATCTACTAATTTAGGGATAATCCACTGACATCCTTTAATACACATGTTAATTTGAATCAGATGTACTGATAATATCCGCAATATAAATCTTTAAACTTCTTCTTACCTTTAAAAGTCCGTCACGAACGGTCTATTATGCTGCAACTCTACAGCT